CTGGTATATATAAGAGGGGAAAACGTGACGCGGGAAAAGGAGGTAATGTGTGTGTAGATAGTGAGTAACTGAACTGCAGTCAGAGAGCACGAGAGACGTTACAGCGTTTGTTTAGCGCGATTGTTGAAGTTGAATGTATCGGTAAAGTTATATTTGGAAAGAATAAACTAGTTTTATTAAGAAAGGAGTTGTGTCGCTTAAGTTTCGTCGGAACGAAGTTACGGAAAGTTAATTAACAAACAAAGACGTAACAGTACTTTTTTTTATAAGGTGTCTCACAGAAGATTAGCAATGGAAATCATATCAGAAAGGGTTAGGGCAAGACAAGTTAATTGGATTAAAAGGTGGTCAGATGAGAGAAAACAAAAGGCTGTTATTAATGGAGTCCAGTCAAACTGGATCCTTATGACTAGTGGAGTGCCTCAGGGCTCAGTGCTTGAGCCTTTGCTTTTTATTATTTACATTAATGATGTTGATAGGGGCATTATTAGTCAATTGGTAAAGTTTTGCTGATGACATTAATCTCTTCGGTATTTCTAGCTGTATTGAGGCTGTTGTACTACAGAATGACTTGGATTAATTGGTAAGCTGGACAAATATTTACAGATTATCTTTAATTATAGGAAGTGCAAGGTAATGCATCTGGGTTATAATAATTTAAATCACACATTTTATTTAAATGGAAACCTACTCAACAGTATGACTGAAGAAAATAATCTTGGCACAGTGGTGGATAAGTCACTTAAGCCAATGATGTTATGCTCTGTTGGTAGCAAAGCTTGGTTCCGGATTAACGCATAAGCTGAGCTACAGCTTAGGGCCTCACAATATACGAGGCTTCTTAGCAACCTCGGAAAAAGGAAAAACTGACTTCATTTCAGTTTCTTTTATTGTATGGAACCTTTTAAACTTGACATAGTGGGCCTCATAATGTCATAATCCAGCACTGTTAAAGCTAATATAATTTTAAGGTTATTTATACATATATTCATTACGAGTCATTAAAGGTATTTATATCTATAAAAACTGCTAGTTAAGGTCTCATTTAAGAATACTGTGTACAATTTTGGTCGCCTTATTAAAGAACAAAATTTTGACTTGTTGAGAAACATTCAGAGGAGGGCTGCAAGTACAGAAGGGTTATCTTACTATAGGGATAGGCTAAAGTCTTTTATTATCTCTTGAGAAAAGAAGGATAAAAGATTATTTTATTGAAGTTTACAAGATTATCCTGAATAAAAGATAAATGTTTCTGATTTCTTTATGTTGTAGTCTGAAGACAGTTAGATGAGAGCTGGGTATGTTTAATTTGGAAAATACAGGGAGGCTGGCACTTTATAAGGATTTAAGGGGGAATCAGTTACTTCCTGAAAAAAAGGGATGGGTTTAAACTTTTAGTTTCCCTAATGGTTGGTTTGTAAAGGCAGCCTTGAAGGACCAAATGGTCCATTATTGTCCGTATTTTATGTTATGTATCTGATTATGACCTGAACGTTTTATGTTTTCGTTATTTGATTCTCTGCACTTGCTAATTAGATCATGTGTTTATTAGTGATGGTTAGTTATATGTAAGTAAACATGTTTTATCAATTTGCTTTAATTTTATTTTTTGTCTGATGAAATTGTGATTTATTTTTTATATCATATCATTCAAATTATTTGTTTTCTAAATTTTCTCAGGTAGCAATTAAAATTATAGACAAGACCCAGTTAGATGAAGAGAATCTAAGGAAAATTTTTAGAGAAATTCAAATAATGAAGTTGCTCAATCACCCCCATATAGTTCGTTTGTATCAGGTGAGTATATCAACATATTAAAAGTTGCAAAAAATTTATTATTTAGTGTTTATATATTAGTGTCAGTGCATGATAGTTGATAATGATTTTAGGATTTATACTACTCATTTTCAAAACTGATGAAGTTAAAGCAGTGTGTTAATTAATTAATTTTATTATAATAATAGTAATTAGGAAAAACTGCTATTTCAAAACTTATATTTATGAATAAAAAATATTTGATGACGTTATATCTTGTGAAGTTTTTGAAAGAACTATTAATGTAGATAATACAAAAATTACAGGTTCTCTAGCTGTCTGGATGAATATTTTTTTTCCATTAGCAAATTGTACAAATACATCCAGTGTATCATGTACGAACTACTGTAGCTCTGAAATGATTGGAAGTAAAATACCTTATTTAACACCAGAATTACTTGTCATTTTTTTACACTGAGTGTTGTAACAGGAAAAAAAAAAATCAATATTTTAGATATGATGAAATATGTATCAACCCAACTGGTAGTTAATAGTATACAAACAGGTTAGTAATTTGAGGGTTCAGTGAGTAAAAATGTAAGTATGAGAAACATGGCAGTTATTTTATGATATGAAACATATTAGCTGATACTAAATAATATATATCTCTTTCCATAACCAGCTGAATATCTTAGCTTTGAGCTTCTTGTTTACCTGGTGTAAACTAAGATGTCTTCAATGATACACTCATTTTGTTTTTCAGGTGATGGAAACAGAAAAGATGATATACTTAGTGACCGAATATGCTAGTCAGGGAGAAATATTTGGTAAATTCAGAGATATGTAATTACTAGTAATGTATTTGAATAAAAGTAAATGTTGTGTTGAATAAAGCTCTGATATATATGAATACTATTTCTTGGATTTCATGTCATGAAGTGCATAAGTACACAAGTTATTTATTCTTACATTTAAACAAATATGATAATCTGATCATGTTCATTCTAATATATATATATATATATATATATATTAATAAGATACAGGGAAATAAATTTAATTAAAACGAGCTACGTTCTTTGAAATTATATAATAATAAAGAGTTCCCTCATCATTGAAACCTTTTGTCTGCCAGTAAATGTATAAAACACGAGACTATTCTTAGCTATTTCTGCTTCCAAACCATTCTTCCATCATACACACATTCATGCATGCATCACCACAGTGGGAGAAATATTATGGAAAGCATTTTATAAGTAAAGAGTTCTCAGAAACTATACCCTTTCCTTAATCACCATTTCTTGCCGTAGGGCATGCATTCTTACAAGGAAAGATAAATAAAGGTCTTATGCAACCACTTTTATTTTTAGCTTGTCCAGTACCTATACAGTGAAAATATTTGTACCTGTGACTGAGGATGTTAAGTATTCATCATGCTAGTGGTTTAGTGCATTGAGTATCCATGAAGCGACGTCTACAGCTTCCTTTGATTAATATTAACAAGTGCATTAAGTGCCTTCAAAACTTTGTTCATTGAAGCTATTTTTAGGAGTCCCTCTCTCTCTCCCTGTTAAGGTTTACTTCGGTTTGAAGTAGTGATTGATAATGTTAGGGTATGGGTGAAGGCTAAATTCCTACATGTGTTCTTGGAAATTAACTAGGACTAATTAATTTGTTCATCCTGTGATATTTTACATTTTTGATTGTTGAATGAAAGGTATAGTTTATTGAGTTATTTTTATTTGGAATTTAAATCTGAAAAGTTACACATTACTGGATTTTGTAGGTATTGATTGGATATGAATCTGTAAATGAACTCTTTTAATGTATTTTGCTTAAAAAATACAGATAAAAATGTAGTCTTAATTGTTGGTTATTATATAGAGTATTATACAGATATATATGGTTGAATATTGTGTATGTGCTAAGGTTGGGTTGTGTCAATTTAAACACAAGTAGTACATCTATATATATATATATATATATATATATATATATTGTGTATGTGCTAAGGTTGGGTGTTGTGTCAATTTAAACACAAGTAGTACATCTATATATATGTATATGTATATTGTGTATGTGCTAAGGTTGGGTGTTGTGTCAATTTAAACACAAATAGTACATATATATATATATATATATATATTGTGTATGTGCTAAGGTTGGGTGTTGTGTCAATTTAAACACAAGTAGTACATCTATATATATGTATATTGTGTATGTGCTGAGGTTGGGTGTTGTGTATGTTTGTAAATTTAAACACAAATAGTACATCTATAGTACATCAAAGGTGAAAGATACATTTAAGAATTAGATTATTTCAATATGATAATTGTATTTTATGTATTTCTATACATAACATATATTTCTTCAGTATTATTCAAAAGTTTATTTTGAGTTACAAATCTAATCAGTTAAGAGGTTGATTCTATGAAGTATATAATGAAAGCACATATTAAGTGTACAGTAAATGTTTTATAAGAACATATCACATTTCATTATCAGAAATGTGATATCCAATATAGCAATGAAATAAATCAAACATACAGTGGCCTTTCTGTACATGAGGTTGAAATGATATACTGCAATTTGAGTAGAGTTAATGAGAGGTTAATTTTTCAGCTCAGTGTCAAATCTAGTGGTAAAAGAAAACGTACATCTTTTGAAAAAACAACAAGAAAGAGTAGCTTGATTTCTCTTTATACTTATACTACAGCCCAAAATTGTAAAAATATATTCTGTATCTGGTCAGTATGGTCAGTGACTTAGTTAAGATGATCTCTTTTTGATGCAGTATGTGCTTTTTGATTATATTCTATATCTGGTCAGTATGGTCAGTGACTTAGTTAAAATGACCCCTTTTTGATGCAGTATGTGCTTTTTAAATACCTCTGTAAATGTTTTGATATTTGAAGGAATACTAATACACATATTTAATGGAAGATTTAAAAGATGTGTACAGGATTTTATGGAATATGTTGTATTATATTTCCTTTATATATTTCAATATTCAAGTTAGTTTCTAAGGTCAACAAGGATAAATTTTATAGGTTGTTTAGGCAGAGTATTCATAATGAATTTAAGTTTCAAATGGACAAAACTGCCTGTTGTAAAAACCTACAAATGTAGAGGACGATGTTTTGAAAGTCTTCCGTCTTCATCTGAAGATGAAAGTGGAAGACTTTCGAAACGTCGTCCTCTACATTTGTAGGTATCTACAACAGGCAGTTGTTGTCCATTTGAAACTTAGATTCAACAAGGATATAATTTATTTTTTGGATCTTCAGAGTTTTAATGGTTGTTGATTATATATTCATTTTTACATTTTGTCAGTTATTTTTGATGTAATTAATATAAACATTGCCTCAGTTTTCTTAAATCAGTAAAGTATTTAATGAGTCTTGACAATGTACAAAACATTTTTTAACATGCTAAAGATGAATGATATATATATATATTATTCTAAGGGAATAACCTTGTTCTATTTTCTTAATTCCAAATTTGAATTATTGGAAACATATACTTTTACTTAAGTGACATTAGTAATTTTTTGGCATGTGTTTTAATTTCAAGGTTTCAATAAAATAAATATAAAGTCTGTTTTATTTTTTTGTGAGGCCAGATCACCTTGTAATCAGTGGAAAAATGAGTGAAAGTGAGGCCCGAAAGAAGTTTCAACAGATCGTTGCTGCTGTTGGGTACTGTCACCAGCGATATGTAGTACACCGAGACTTGAAAGCTGAAAATCTTCTTCTTGACTCAGAAATGAATATTAAAATAGCAGGTAAAAAAGAAATGAAAACAAATTATCACTAAAATTTGATTACAGTTACCTGAAACAAAAATATTCACAAGTAAGCTAAAGTCTAAGGATTAAAAAACTGGAAAACTGCTGAAAATATAGGATTAAGGTATAGGTTGAGCCGACTCATACACAGAATGTGTGATGGGGGGGTTGGTTCTAATTTGTGAGATCAAAGGCCAGATCACAGTGGGTGAATAACAATCAGCATGCTAGTGCTATGGGAGTCTGGGGGCATACCCCCCTAGAAAATATGTAAAAACATAGGTGCTATGAGATTAAGTCTGGAAGCAATTTTGCATGAAATATAGCTTAAGCAATTCCATGGCTGTTCATATAAAATCCACAAACATCCAATGAAAAGTCAACAAGTCATTCTGTTGTAACATTACATGGGTAGCTAGACTTAAATTAAAATGAATGTTTGTTTTATTACAGTAAATTACTGTACTATCTACATGCAGAGTACTTATTAATTGTTAAATTATATTACTAATTTAAACAACTCTATACAACAATAGTATATTAGTTCTTTCAATCATTGGCTATCATTTACGTACACGTATGCATTACTGAAATAACATGTTAGCACTTTCCTTTCTTCTGGGATGTTTTTTCATGAATAACTTGCATACAGTTTCAATGTTGATAGCAGTGTCATAATGATTAAGTACTGAAGCTAGAGTATGCAGTCTTTCTTCAGTTTGTGTACACCTCAAGTAATTATTAAACTGGCAGAGAGCAGATGCTGAATGTTGACAGTGTGGCAAAGTGTTTCAGTACCATAAAAATATTTTATATACTGAAGCATGCTTTGATGAAAAAGAGACAATTATTTAAAGTTTGGAGACGACAGTACAATGAACATTTATATATATACGTTTGACTTATTTTAATACATTATTTTTAAACAAGTGGACTGTATTGCTGTTTGTTTATTGTTGAAATGTATCGCCAATAAGTCATGCACGTACTGTAAAGTATCCAGCTCACAAAACCTGACAGTTGCAATACAGCTTTGGGTTTACAATTACAAAGTGTCAACAAAAGCCATTGCATGCGACTATTTCCAGCCCAAGAATGTCAATGCTACATCTAAAGAATGTAGACTACGTAGAAAACATTATACACAGCTGCACTATTACTACATAAACATAATTTTTACATCACAAAAATATAGGATTTTGCTGATTAATTTTACATACATAATTTTACATAACATTATACACAGCTGCACTATTACTATATAAACATAATTTTCACATCACAAAAATATAGGATTTTGCTGATTAATTTTACATACAAGTTATTTAGAATTGTGTTATATTCAATCAAAAAGATATAATTAAAGCAATTTAACACATCATACACAAATAGTATAGTTATATGCATAATTTTCATAGACTTGTTGAAAAAAAAAGAAGTGGAGTACTAAGTTGCAGTGTTTCGTTTGTAGATTTTGGATTTAGCAACCATTTTGAACCTGGTAAGTCTCTTTCAACATGGTGTGGAAGTCCACCATATGCTGCACCAGAATTGTTTGAAGGTAAACAGTACGATGGAACCAAAGCAGATATTTGGGTAAGCTAAAGTACTCAGTCAATGGTTATTTTCTTTAGTTTATGTTAGGAGTTAAGATTAAATTTTGGTGTTGCTTCTTCTACAGTTTAATAAATTCCTTATAATCTAAATAATGTCTTTACGCAATATACTTACTAAATCAAGTCTGTATCTCATGTTGTATATTTAGAAGTTTTGCCTAATTCATAGCAGCAAATTTTGCAATTTTTGGGATCTTTTCTATCTGATTCAAAATATATTTCGTTTTGTTTTGACAGAGCATGGGAGTTGTGCTTTATGTATTAGTTTGTGGAGCCCTTCCTTTCGATGCAAGCACTCTTCAGTGTTTACGAACTCGAGTTCTATCTGGAAAATTTAGAATACCTTATTTCATGTCTACAGGTATATTTCTTTTGTACAAGTTTCTAAGCTTATATTTAGTTTATTGTGACACTTTATTACATCCAGGCAAAACCTGAACTTTGTCAGAATAATTTACTAAGGTTTATTTTAACACTTTATTACATCCATGCAAAACCTGAATTTTGTCAGAGTAATTTACTAAGGTTTATTGTAACACTTTATTACATCCATGCAAAAACCTGAATTTTGTCAAAGTAATGTACTAAGGTTTATTGTAACACTTTAATACATCCATGCAAAACCTGAATTTTGTCAGAGTAATTTACTAAGGTTTATTGTAACACTTTAATACATCCATGCAAAACTTGAACTTTGTCAGTGTAATTTACCAAGGTTTATTGTGATTCAATAATTAAATATCTTATATGCACAAATTCCTTTAGAATTTTATTTTACATAGAAATAGGCTTACAAAAGTATTTAAAGAGAGACTTTCTTTAAGTTGCAATTTAGTGACTAAAACAGAATGTCTGTGCAAAATATTGGTCATTTCTTATAATATTGTGATTATGTTTGCAGAAATTAAGCTATATTTATTATTTTGTTATGGTTTGAATACATTATTGTTGTTACATGTGTTTGTACTTAAGCACAAAGCTACACAACAGGCCATCTGTGCTCTGCCCACCACTGGTATCGAAATTCGGATTCTAGCATCACAGATAATACCACTGTGCCTCTGGGTGTTGAAAATATAATAGAACAGTGTATTTAGAGGTAGTTCTCGTATGATTGACTGGGTCATAAGAAAATTAGCTGTGATAACTACTTTCTTATGGTCCTTTATCACTTAAATATTTCTTATTCTTATACATTTAAATATACTCACTTCCATGTCTCATCATCATCATATGCCATCTTCCTCAGGAAGGTTGGGTGTCACAATCCTCTGCTTTTCTCACGAGGTCTTCTTATTTTACTATCTCACTTCATTCTTTAATATTTGTTATCCACTCTGTTCTTGATCTTTCCCTTTTATTTGACCCTCTAGTATGACTCGCTGGATATTGTGTTGTCTCATCATGTGACCAAAATTTGCTACTTTTCTCTTCTTGATGGTTGGTACAACATATCTTTTCACGTTCATCATACTGAGAACCTCTTCATTTGTTACCTTGTCCATCCAGGATATTTTCATCATCTTTCCATACACCCACATCTCAAATGCTACCAGTTTGTTAATCAGTGCTTGTGTCTCACTTTATTTTAAATCATTTAACAGTCAATGAACCTGGAAAGCACAAAATGGCAAAAGTTTATCTTTTTTTGTTTTCAACTGTGTCTTAATTGTATGTGAAATTCTTGCAAATACATTTAACACTGATAAAAATAACGGAAATGCTTAGAACTCAGTAAACAAAATAAAAAGTTATGTATTATTCTATGTATTGCAGTCTTTTAATTTCATATTAAGTATCTAATAAAACGTATAATATTTTATTTTTGTGTGTATTGTATTTTAAGAACCAGAAGTGTGACATTCCTTAAATAGTAACAATTCGCTTCAAAAGTCCATTTTTCTGAGAAAATCTTAAAGAATACCCTCAAATATCCTAACGTATAGAACAAGCTTTGTGATCTTGCTTTTAAGAGCAGGATCATAACATTTAAATTTGAGCTTTAAAAGTAAGTATTATTTTTAGCCCTGTGTCTCAACTTGCCTTAAAAGTAACTAAACGAACTCTATCACAAAATCGACTAAGAAGTTTAATCCTAATATGGCGTGGAATCGGTGTAGGTTTTTTTTATCCAGAATGTTACACAAACAGACATTTTCTTGCCAAAAACTGGGTTCCAAGGTCCCGAAATTAGTCACGTTTTCTGTGCATCCCCCCCCCTTCCCACACACTCCAAAATAATTGGTGCTTACTAATTCCATGCTGAACAACAATTTCTGAAGAAATATATATATTGTTACGACAGCGGAAGTCACGTGACGCTAGTAACACGTCATGATATTCTTGAAGGTTCTTGAATGCTCGAGCGTTTACTAGATGTACGGTATTCTTGTATATAAGCTGCCAAGAAGTGACGGCAATAATGGAATTGAATTGCAGACAGAGATACAGATGGACAATTGAGTTAAGCTCGTGAATCATTCGTTGTGAATTATCACGTTTGTTTAAATTAACTGACTGTTCGAATTAAGTGTATTGCAAAGCTGTAGTGAGAGAGAATAAACTAGTTTTATTTAAAGAAGGACTTGTATTGCTGAAGTTTTTTGGAAAGAATTTCTACGGAAAATTAACAAACAATCAAAGGTGTAACAATATATAAGAAATTCCTGTTGTCAGCCACTGTACTATAGCTCACATACATTTTATCAAACTCATACTGAAGGTAAAACCACCACCAATGCGCAGTATACTATATAAAGAACTTATTTAGACTTTTTTCACAGACTAAGACTGGTGTACTTCCTTTTTTATTAAGACAGTTAATATTGTGCTTTTATGACTAGAGATTCTGCAATGCAAATAAAATTGTTTTGCATAACCAGTTACTATTTGAAAGGTCTTAAATTTTGTTTTAGAAAAGTACTAAATACAAATAAATTTTAATTAGTTATATATACAGATTTTTAAAGTATTTTTCTTTGCAGACTGTGAGAACTTGGTACGTAACATGTTAATTGTTGATCCGGAGAAGCGGTTTACTATACAGCAAATTCTTCACCACAAATGGATTCAACAGGGGGAACCTGATCCTGAATTTAAGATATTAGTTGAACAAAAATCAAGATCTGTACATGAAAATGAATCTATTGATGAGTTAATAGTAGAACATATGCTTCAGCTGCCAGGATTATCCAAAGAACAAATTATTAAGGTATCAGTGTTACATTCCTATTGTTAAAAAAATATTCACTTGTTAAGAAGATTGTATTATTTTTAAAATATGGCTGTACTGTCCATTTTTTATTTTCAAACATTGTTAAGTTATTGGAATGTATTCAAACTTAAATTTTAATTTAACTATTTAAATACTCGCTTTTTCTTTATCACCTTTATCTTATTAAAAAATCGAATTATTATTATAGTTACCAGTGGTGGGCAGAAGGGAATAAAACATGCAGTAAGCCATAGTTTCCAGTGGTAGGCAGAAGGGTATAACACATGCAGTAAGCTATAGTTTCCAGTGGTGGACAGAAGGGTATAAAACATGCAGTAAGCCATTACAAGATGTTGAATAGATTTTGCCATATTTCCTGTGCATTTTCTGAATATGAATACTTTCCTAGTTTGTTTGTATGTTGTATACACACACACACACACACACACACACATATGCACATTTTGATTGAGAAATTAAAGAAATTCTGTATTTAATTTATTGTGTTCATTACATAATAAGCAAATACCAGTTTGCAAATGACATCTATGCATTTAAATTAAATCTCACAGTTCACATTTCTTTGATTTGTTTTTGTCTGTGGTGTCTTTTGGGCAGGGATCAGTGTTGTAACACAAATGTAATGTTGACTGGATGAGTCAGAAATTTATCATATTTCAACCTAGATCTGTTCATCTTAACCAGGTTAAAAAAAAACAAATTGTGGTTCACAGATGTAACTATGTTAGCCAATTTTAGAGGTTGTTCTCATTGTAATTATGTTAATGAGAATAGAAGTTTTTGTCATCCCTAGATATAATTGAATTACATTATCTAGTTTAGAAAATATTGGAGTACCTAGATACGGTTACATGATTCAGTTTAATGCACTCTATGATGTATGTTTTGTTTCATGTCTGTAATGCCTACATGAGATTATCATTAGCTTCTCATCAAAACAGGCTACTTACATAGATTAGAACTAAACATTAACACAGTAATTAATATATATTGCTAATTTAATGGATCACTTACCAAGTTTACAAGAATTTCTAATGTGATTATGGTAGTTTACAAAGTTTTCTTAGTAGGAGGAGATTACTAATTTCTTTATATGCTATTTACTACTGGTAGGATCCAAATATTGCATAATTTTATGCAATTATATTTTTTCTAGTTACCATAGTAGTTTAAAGAACCAATAAACAAATTTGAGTGAAATCACTCATTTTCTGTTAAATACACAGAGTAATTAATAATTAGTGGGATTTATTATAATTGATTAGGTATTTTTTGAGTGACTCGTGTTTTATAAGCCAGGACCCTGTTACGGTAATTTCAGGATACATTTACCTAATAGTCACTAAACTTCCACAAGACAAGAGGTTTGTGAATCTATACAGAATGACAGATGAAATGAAAGAGGCAAGACATAGTGTTCACATCAAAATAAAGTGAATTTTTTACTTAACCAAATAAGATTGAAAAATAACAACTGATTATTTAGTGTTAAGACTATTGCAAATATGGAGATAGATGAAATAAAAAAAAGAAGAAAATAGTTGACCAGTATCCAATTAAAAGTTATCAATAATCAGTAAGTAAGAGCATGGTGATACAAGACTTCCACAGCTAGCCATGGCAGTCTCAGGAAAAATGAATTGAACTTCTCTAAAGACAGAGCAAATCTTAATCTGAAAGTGCCGAAACTGTGTTCACCGTGCATGTTCTTTCTGTGACTCATCAATCAAGATGAAAGGATTGACATTTGGAAGTATCATTGCTCCATGTGACAGCTACAAGATATTCCCCAAGTCAAGGAAAGAGAAGATAAATATCCGGACTGGTCAAGCTACAAAAATTTATATCTCAGGCTGAATTTTGCAAATGATCTCATCCAGATATTGTGTGTTCCAAAATGAAAACTTGCTAAATTTAGGAATTTTGAAGATAAGAAATAGAAACTATGGGAGTGTAAGGTATGTCACTATAACCAGTAAATAGTTTAGAAAATTGTGGTTAAAAAATAGATGAGGTTAAAATGAAACTGTCAATACTACTTCTCTGAAGGACGTGTCTTTTATATTTGGATTTACTTGACAGAATGTGATGTGTTTTGTAAGAATATCCCACACACTCTCCAATAGGATTGAAGACCATTACTTCTCCACCAGTGAAGGAATTTGTGTTGAACTGTTTATTACAGTTGAGATGGGTATCATCACTCAGATGGCTAAAGTCAGGGCCAATAGCTCCAGCATGTAGCGGTACAAAGGGCCTTAAGACATGGTTTCTATCATCGGTAGCATTAATGATACCATTCTGCAGAATCAGGAGTGATGAGAGTCACCACCATCCCCGGGCCAAACATCCTCACTGTGCCCCCTGTCTCTTTCTTTTTAACATTTTTAAGAACTTGTTAAAAAAAGAAAAATCATAGCAGCAGCTATTTTTAGCTCACTGTATAAGCGTAAAAACGAGCTTTATGACATAACCAGGTTTCATTTGCTCAGGCCCCTGGCCAGTTGCCCCCTTTAATCCTAGATTCATAATTATACATTTATACTAAATTATATTAAATAAGTTTGTTTTTTTCTTGAAGAGCAAAGCCACATTGGGCTATCTGCTGTATCCTCCCCAGAGAATCAAAACCCGGATTTTAACATTGTATGTCCATAGATTACCACTGTCCCATTGGGGGACAGTATTATATAAGAGGCTGGACAAGCTACAGTTTAAAAGAAATGTCAATTAAACACATTCTTAGTTAAGTTTTCCCTGATGTTTCTGGTTGCTTTGTTGTTAAGAACAAAGCTATACAATAGGGTATCTGTACTATGATGTGAATGTATATAAATTATCATTAGTCTTATGTATTCAGAGTTTAAACAAAGTTCAAGCAATAGGATAGATTAAATAAAAGTATTTATGAACCATGTGGTAAGTAAGTTACTTAATAGGTGTTTCTGCATAACAGATGGAATTATTAAAACCTGGGCAAAACTGATATATGATATAAGAAGAAAACACATGCTTTAAGTCATATAAGGTGAAATATCAAGTCTTGAAATGTTGAAATCAATTCCCATAAGCTTAATTTTTAATTGTTTTGTTTTGCTTCATGATACTGAATTGTTATTTTCAGTGTGTTCAAGAAAAATATTTTGATAGCTGCAGTGCCATATATCACTTGCTTCAAGATAAATTAAAAAGCCACCAGAGGGCAGCCTTGCTGCCCCAAAACTTGCCAGTAACAGCTCAACCACAAAGAAAATCCAGTATAACAACTGGAGTTGGTAAGTATACTGATACAGTATTATTTTTAATTTATCTAATACTCTTTTTTTTTTAGACGTACAACTTCGAAATAAAAGAAAGAAAGTCAGAAAACATTTGAAATGCTATTTATTAATATTTTAGTATCAAAAATTTGCTGCTAGTACTTTCAACGTTTAATCCAAAATTCAGAGTTTATTAAGCATTTTTAGGAAATAGTTTTTAAAGCTATTATTAGTGTCTGAATGTATAATTGTTCTTAACTCAACAGTAACTTTTTCAAATATAAATATTAAACCCATTACAGTATTTGTATATTTTGTGTATAAAATCATTCTGTTTTACAATAAGCAATTTTAAAAGTATAACACTGAGCTTTAATAAGTTACCTGATATTAAGATGTGTTTAATGTTGTTTTTTTTTAATTTCTATCCTTCTTAAACTACTTGTGTGAAGTATTTAGCTATAATCAGAAATTTCATATACTAGTACATACTTTCATTACTTTTCTCAACAACATAAAAACAAAAAATTGAAATCATCTTCATTTTTCCAGTTGAAAGGGGTTCACCTAATATGGAGAATGGTAACTCTGAGCATCAGGCTTTGTTGAGCTCCATGTTGACTGTCAGTCCCACTCCTATGCTACAGATGTGTGCCGAGAACCAAAATGTTGAAAACGTAAATGATAATACAAACTTATATTTAATAAGTAAATGGCTATTTGTTAATTTATGAAAGACAGTAAATAGTTTACTTTGTTAGATGTTTTTAATACTTTTATTTATAGAGATACACCCATGTTATTTCTGAACATCCCTGCCCACAGACCCTAATTTTTGGTATTATTTTTTAAGTAATGTCATAATTATCAGGTTAGATCCAATATTCAATTTATAAAATAACAGAAAGTAATAGAGTGTAACATAACATATAAACTACTCAACAGGAAAGTTTGTTACTATACGTAATGATGTTTTCATTGATATTTGACTATCTTTTTATATTTTATTTGTTAACTTTATATCTTGATCTGGATCATACATATATGTACATTATCTACATTATATATCTACTTTACATATATCTACATATATGTAAAGTTCCAGATATTTTATACAATAAAGGAAAAATAAATAAAGTAATTGACAGAGACATGATTTCACTGTTACTGTCAGTTAATTGACAGAGATATGATTTCACTATGACTGTCAGGTAATTGACAGGGACATGATTTCACTGTTACTGTCAAGTAATTGACAGGGATATGATTTCACTATTACTTTCAGGT